TTTTTTAAAAGGGCTGGGGATGTGGTGGCTGAGTGGTTAAGCATCCCTGGGTTCATGTACGAAAAAAAAAAAAAAAAATTGTCTGACTGTTTTCTCAGGTGACTGCGTCATTTTACATCCCTGCCAGCAATGTCTGAATGTTCCAATTTCTCCATATCTTCACCAATCCTTGTTATTATTATTATTATTATTGTCATTCTAGTTAATGTTAAGTGGATCATCTCTCTTCATTTTGTTGGACGTAATGTGGACAACTTCATGTCAATAAATTCATTTTTTTTCCTGAACATTTTGTAAATTCTATTGTGTTCACTTCAATGTCCTGTGGTCTGATAGCTGGGGTGAAAGAGTGAAGCAACTAAGACTATATCTTTGTTAGAATATGAGGTCTCTGGTTTCTTTACTAAGGTTTTTTAACTGTCTTGAACCAAGATTTTCTTCCCCTAGGTAGTGAGTGGGTTTTGTGGTCTGTGGGGGTTCACTTTGGATTTCAATTCTTTCTTTGGTTCAGTGTGGAACCTCCTTGTGCATTAAGGCATCCATCCTAGTTGTTCACTAGCCCCTCTCCTCCTCCAATAGTGACAGGGCGCAGATAAGAATATTATTCCCCTTCTGCCAGTAAATTTGTCTAGCTAGTGAGTCTCTGGATTTTGCTAATTCTCCGGGACCATTTGAGGGAGTAATTTTGTATACCTGAGCAATAAGTTGTTCTTCCCTTCCCACTTCTCTTTGACGTTTCTGGCATTTAATTGTTTTTTAGCTCATTTGTGACTGGGTTTCTGTTTGCCAGTTTTTCTGTGGGAAGAATGTGTTTGTTTCTATTAGATTGCCGTTGGTTTTTTATTTGAAAAGGGGGATGCCATGATCTAGCTGCCCTCTACTACCTTTTCAAAAAGTGTCCTTAGCAATAGTTGTAGGTGTCTGGCTTACTCCTGGAAATTCCTCATTATTCATTCAGCCATCACTGTATACCTACTGTGTGTTCAGTAGGGCTGTCCAAGCTGGACTATAACAGAGAAAAAGACTCTTGCCTGCCCTCATGGAGTCTCTTGATAAATTATGCCCAAGTCTCTCAAGAAAAACTTGCTTTGCATAAAAATATTTTTTGCATAAAAATATTTTGTATAAAAATATAGAAGATAATTTCAATACTTCAAATCTCAGAATTCATACCGAAGTCCCCTAGATTGTAATAGTAACTTGCAGGGGCTGGGTGTATGAGAGCACTTACTTAGCATGAGCAAGGCCCTGGATTTAAACCTCAGTACCATGAATAATAACAATTAATTTACAGCATGAGGACTATAATTATTGTATTATATGCTGGAAATTTGCTGAGTAGATTTTAAGTGATCTTACCACAAAATAGGCAATTATGTATAATCATAGATATAAGAATAATTTCACTACCTATATTAAAACATCATGTATATCTAAATATATACAATTAAAAAAATTAAGAGCCAGAGGACACAGCTCAGTGTAGAGCCTTTGCCTAGCAGGCATGATGCCCTGGGTTTGATCCTCCCTCAGTAACACACATACATACATACACAATGATACAAACAATAAAAAAAAAATGTTTAACTTACATACCTCTATATTCTTTTCGTTTTTATTCTTATAAATGGACACAATACTTTTATTTATTTATTTATTTATTTTTATGTGGTGCTGAGGATCGAAACCACTGCCTCACACGTGCTAGGCAAGTGCGATACCACTGAGCTACAGCTACATTCTTGTGACACTTCATACTTAATCAAAAGTGCTTTTGTTGGATATGGCATGGACAGAGGGGAAGCTGAAGAGCAGGGGTAAAGGAAATCTGTCTTCATTTTGGAGCTCTCTCCATGTCATATTTGAAAAGCTGCATCAGACATAGCTCATTTTCCACTCATTGCTCACGGGATGAATTAAAATCACTTGCAAATTCCTTAGCTGATGATGCACCAAAAATAAATGCAATTCTGGCATAAGGTATTAAAAAAAAGCACAGTGAAACATAATGGTATAGCTTAGAGAAGATATCTTTACATTTTTAAGTCTTGAGGCATACGAGCTTTTTAAAATACCTTTTTATAAGCACCATAAAGCAGAATGGCTCCTCAATCATTTGGAGAAATCGGAGCAACATGGTGCTATAGACAAATATTTATCCAAAGCCAGTTTCTGAATATTATGTTGCTGCAGCCACATCAAGTGCCCTGAAATTCTTAAATGATTATTTCAAAACCTCCAAGACACTCGCCTCCAAGACACTCGGGACATTAACACACTCAGCAAATATATGAAGGACTCTGCGTGCAAGGCATTATACTAAGGACAAAGGGAATGATAGAAATAAATAAAATGGCACCTTCCTGTGAGGAATTACTGGGTGTAATATGCAAGAATGCTGACATAGCAAAGTAAAGATATAAAGACTACATAATGACAGATGGCAGGCTGCAGTGATAAATCCTGAATATCTAGAGAAACATCAAGAGAGGGCTGACTGATATGGTCCCAACCTGTGTAAACAGGTTCCATAATATTCCATAGTCAGAACTCATAGAACACATTCTATGGTCTCTTTATGCTCCCTCCCAAAATTCATGAAATCTTAACCCCCTTGCACAAAGGCAATGGTATTTAGAGGTGGGGCCTCAGGGACATCATAAGGCCATAGAGTGGAACCCTCATGAAGGAATTAGTGCCCTTCCTTATTAAAGTGGCCCCAGATAGACCCTCCACACTAATACCATGTGAGGACACAGAAAGGTGTGCTATGAGAAAAGGGGCCTTTACCAGATATTAAACCTGCCAGCACTTTGATCTTGGACTCCATTTCCGTGAGAAATAAAGTTGTTATGTAGAAGCCATCCAATTCATGGTGTTTTGTTATGGCAGCTCAAATGGACTGCTATAGAAATAGAACAATGGATAGCAGAGGAATAGAACCCCAGGCCAAAGCCAAACATGGCATTTTGCTGCCAGTACAAGCCCATGGAATTTTTAACAGTTCACACTCACCCTCACTGGTGTCCTTTGAAAGTGTATTTTATTCTGCAGTTTTTTTAAGGGACCGTTCATCATTCATAAGATTGAATGCAGAGAACAAGACTCTTGCTTCCATCATTCATAAGATTGTTTAAACTATATTTGTAAATTTCTTCATATTTCCTACTAGTTCTCTGCCTCAGAGACTTGACTCCACCAGATCTTCAGTAAAGGAACCCCTGATTGGCTTATACAATTTAAGTTCCAAAGGCCAGCCCCCTGTGTAAACTTTTTAGGATTTGAGAACAAGTTCATTCATATTTCTTTTTATGGATTCTGAATCTTCGAGCTTTCACCTTTTAAACAAGGCAGCTTTGTTATTTAAGTCAGGTCCAAAAACTATAAAAATGGTCAATTATCAGCTGGGTGTGGTGGCACATACCTGTAATCCCAGAGACTTGGGAAGCTGAGGCAGGAGGACTGCAAGTTCAAAGTCCAGTCTCAGTGACTTAGTGAGAGTTTGTCTCAAAATAAAAAGGACTGGGGGTAGAGCTCAGTGGTAGAGGGCCCTTGGGTTCAATCCTCCAGTACACACACACACACACACACACACACACACACACACATATATATTTTTCTCCAATTGTCAAGGAAGCTGCTATTTATTTCTTCCAGGAGCAATGTGTACAGCCAGTAACTTCCCACCAATCCCATTCCCTGGCTCCACCACATGTGGTTGCTCAACAGGGAAATGTTAAGAGATTCTATTCTACGTGGAGCTAAATAATTAAGAGGATAATTTTATTATAGTTAACAAAGGGCTGCTTTTTGCTGTTTAAAAGTTATTTTCTAAGGAAATGCCAGTTCAACCATGAGTCTCACAAATAAGAAAAAAGTATTAATTTACCCTTTAAAAGTCCACACAAACTGTGAAAAAACAATTGCCTCAAATTATTGCTCTATGCTCACAGACAAGTTTCTAGAAAAACAACAACAACAACAACAACTCATGACTGGCTGCTTTGGAAGTAGAATGGGAAAGCAAATGTAAAGGGGATGCACCACCTAGTGACCAGAGCTGGAACTGCTCTTGATGAAATCCAGATATACCTAATCAAGAAGACACCCATTCTTCAAAGGCAAGTTACCACCAAAATGATTTAATTCTCTTTTCAGGGAACCTGTAATTAGCAAATAAACTAGAAAAAAAATAAGAGTCCATCTCATGATATTTATGTAAATACTCCCAAGAGATATTTTATAGCTTCTAGATCAGGTATGATGGTTAAGTCTTCTGGCTATTAATATGTGCAGATGTTTAAAAAGCAATACACACAGACACCTAAATTTGAAAAGAAGAATGTTAAGAATATTTAAATGTTTCAAAAGCAACCTTGAGTAGAACCCACTTTGAATAATTGCTTTTCTGTCCAATAAAGTGTTCACAAGAGAACTACAATAATTCAAAAACATTTATCACATTTACCAACACTTCCACTTTATCAATAAAGACTGCTGGAATGTGGCAAAAATAAACATTTTACTTCTTAATAATAAAGGTAAGTTGTTATGACTATTCAAGATATTTAAATATAAAAACAGGTGTACAATATTTCTTAAAGTGTAATTTTATTAATTTTAATACATTTGCAACCCTCCACCTTATTAACAAAATTTGAATCATGGCAACTAAACACATAAGTTCTACATTTTACTTTATAAAGACCAGACTATACTGCAAAGCTCAAAAGATGACTGAAGCAGACATAGAAAACCTTATTTAGGTAACATAATCAGAGCTCACCCATTCTCTACATTCACAACTGAATGGCTTTTCAAGACACCCCCTTCAGGTTGAAGATACAAACCACAGATTGACTCAAGCAACAATAAAACTAACTTCATGGAATTAAATGGTCTTTCCATCACTGCAGAATTTGTTCTTCTGGGTTTAAGTTTATATTTTTTCACAGAAAAAAAAAATTCAGGTAAATAAAAACAAATTCCAGGTTAGCATGTTCAGTGTTTAACTTCTTTATTTTACCTTTATCAAGGCAAGCAAAGTACAGATGCTGTACATTAAAAACATACAAACACATAACTCACAACACATCAGATACTATAGGCCAACAGACCTTTTCCTAAGGACTGCTCCTCTCTGAAGCACATAACCACAGCTAAATGTACAAAGAGCCATCTGCTGGTCCCACGTAGCCAACTCCAATTAGCAAGACATCTATTAGTGTCCATATTCCCAGGCCACCAAAGCTGAAGAGCTTGCCCAGGCCTTCACGCCACTGGCCCAGGTAGAAGCGGTCTGCTCCAAACCCACCTAGTGTGATGCTGCAACAATAAAGTAGGCTGAAATCCGTAAATGTAGCCAGCTATGGTTTAATATCCACGCCAAGTCACATTTGTGAAAAGGCCTTAAATTATAACAACCCCTAGTTAGAGCATAAATGACCATTTCATAAATTCACAACACCAAATAATGCTGGGCAAGACTGCTTATCAAAAATAAACACATATGGCTTAGCATGTACAGGGCCTAGGATTCAATCCCCAGCACCAAGAAAAAAAATGAATAAAGAAGCATACAATTTTTAACCATGGTGAAAGATATGTTTTTCTCTTTTTAATAAAAATAATCAATCTCATTGCTTTTAAATCAAATTAGTCTGACAGAAAGTGTTCTGACATGTAGTCCTGAGCTGGAGTCTTGAGGCATATACCACAATGAACTAAACCAGATAAAGTTGTCTTAACTTTCTTCAGTCACTCTTTTTTTCTTTTTGGTACTGGGATTGAACTCAGGGGCACTCGACCACTGAGCCACATCCCCAGCCCTATTTTGTATTTTATTTAGAGACAGGGTCTCACTGAGTTTAGCACCTTGTTTTTGCTGAGGCTGGCTTTGAATTCACAATCCGCCTGCCTCAGCTTCCCCAGCCACATGCCCGGCTTTTCAGTCACTCTTATCTAAAAATTTAGTATTACGAATTAATGATTCTTAAGTACTTCAAATCTTAAGATCTAACAATATCAGGAAAATATTTATTATAAAGATTTCAAAACTCAAATTAAAGGAAAGAGTAGAAAACAGTTTCCATGAACCAGCTCTCATGATTATTCACATTCAGCCAACTGTGTTTTGATATTGTTAACCTACAACCTCCCCCTACTGCAGAAGACTGCTGGCTCTGTCTTTCCAAAGGAGGTTCTGCATCTGTAGTCAATCAACCACAGATCAAAAATATTTTGGGGGGAAAAAACTGCATCTGTACTAAAAATGCACAGACTTTTCTTTTTGCCCTTATTACCTAAACAATATAGAATACAATTATTAACATAGCATTCAGGGCTGTGGCTCAGTGGTAAAATGCTCGCCTAGCATGTGTGAGGAACTGGGTTCAATCCTCAGCACCACATAAAATTAAATAAATAAAGTCATTGTGTTCATCTAAACTAAAGAAAAACATTAAAAAAAAAACTATAGCATTCACATTGTATCAGGTATTATAAATCATCTAGAGATGATTTAAGCACATGGAAGGATATTTGTAGTTCTATGCAAATACTGTGCTATTTTATATAAAGGATGTGAGTATCCAAGTGGACCCTGGAATCAACACCCCAAGGCTTCTGAGGGACAACTGTACTTTGGGGCATATCTCATTTACAGAGAATATTTTAAAAGTACTATGTTAACCCTGAAATCATTGAAAATGCAAATTGTAAATTGTTTGCAAAGAAAATATGAGATCCATTTTTAATATGTGCCAAAGTGTTCAGTAAGATGCCGTAAAACTAGAAATAAAACATTGATTTAAAAAAAGAAAAGAAAAAGTACTATGTTAAACTCTATGAAGGAAACAATTTTTAAGTCCTTAAATGTATCATGGTAATGTAAGATGTTAACTATGCAGCAGAGACTGGGTGAGGGGTGTGCAAGAAACTCTCTACCATCTTTGTGACTTTTATATAAGTCTAAAATTACTTTAAATTAAAAAGTTTTCTTTTAAAGTCAATTGCTAGTTTAATTTGAATAATTACTGACAAAAACTATGTATGGCCAGCTGTCAAATCTTATTTTGTCATGTCTAATTTCCTATCTTGGATTCCTCTTTTACTTTCCAATAAACCTCTGGTCAGCACAAACCCTAATGTAATGTCTCTCACAATGGGCAATTTAGCCTTCTAGGGAACATTTGTCCAGGTCTGGAGGCATTCTGATTGTCCCCACTAGGGGAATGGGGTATGACTGAGAACTAGTAGTAGGTATAGGCTAAGGACACTATTAAACATTTTCACTATGCACAGGACAGCTCTACTACAAAGAATTATTTGGCTCAAAATGTCAACAGGGAGAGGGTTAAAAAATCCTGCCCTATGTCACATATTGCAGGTCTCAGGCTCTAACATCAAGATTTCATGGTAGATAGCATAACTTTTTGATTAAACATTTAACCAGGGCCCCACCTGTCTTTCCCCTTAGTGGGAAGACTGATAATCCTGATGAAAAGTTTAAAATATAAACATTTTAAGAGTTATAGATCTGTAATTATCTGGATGATAAAATTATAGATAATTTAGTTTTTCTTTATTTTCATTTTCCACTTTTCATTATATTATATTATAATAAACTTATATAAAATAGCTTACATTATATAAAATGTTATTTTTTATAAGGTCAAAGTTACTTAAAATTTAAAAGTATACCTTGCAAAACCTTCATATTTTAGCCTATGCATTTTACTGATTCACATAAGTTCAAGATGGGAACTCTGATTAGTCCTAATGCTCTACAATAACAACTCAATTAAGTCATTTCTAGAATGACTTAAAATCTAAATATGCCTGCAGCTAAATTCTACAAAAGTACTGTCTGATCTTTTTACCTATCTGCACCTGTGTATTCTAGAGGCTATCTAACAGAAGTGGTAGGATCTTAGCAAAGGATGTGTCTGGCTAAGCCTAATGTTTGAAAAATTGCATTGATCCCAAAGAAATCCAAATGGTATTTTTAACTTATTAATACCAAAGCTTACCTTAGAGCCAGAGCAGTCGACCACTTATAACCTCCAGTCCAATTACAGTATAGCATTTTGGGAAAAGTACGATTACCTTACAAAAAGAAAAAGGAAAACACTCTACATTAAAAAATGGATACAAAAATACTCTCTCGAGATGTCATTATAACTAATGCCTTATAATTTAGAATCAAAAGGTCACCTCTATTTATAATTAGTTTTACTCTAGTTAATAACACAAAGAAAGTCCTTACCATCTATAAGCACAGATTTAATACTTAAATCAGTTAAGTTGGTGTTAAAACATAAAGAATATGAAATGCTCTACTAGATATCAAAACTTTGGGTGAAGACAGATATATACAACAGGAAGAGCCAGCCCAGAACCAGCACCACATATAAACACTTGACATATAATAGAGAGTGACAGAGATAGGCTGCAAAATTGGCTATCTATGAGGGAGGAAATAGAAAAGTGAATTTGCCTCCTAACATCTACCAAAGTCAATTTCTTGTGGATTATAGTGCTAACTGTGAAAGGCCAAACTTCCAGTTTTTAAAAGAAAATAAATATAGAAAATTATGAACCTGGGGTGGGAAAAGAAACAACAAAAAGAAGTGGTTAACTATAAGACTAATTATTTAATCACATTTTCAAAATTCTATTAATCAAAAGATACTCTAAGGAAAGTGGGGAGGAAAAAAGTCAAAATCTGGGAAAGGGTTTTAGGGTCACCTAAGGATAGTACCAAGAATATAAAATAATACCAGAAATCTTTAATATTAGACAAAACCTAAAGATAAGACATACTGAAGATCTAGATCATCAAGAATAGTTATGGGCTACCACTGGTGGGAATGTGTAAACCATTCTAGAAAATAAGACCTGAGGGAGAATATATGCCAGACACACTGCTACAAATGTACAAACAGAAGATAGGTACAGAAATTTAAGAGTTGCTGCAATAGGTAAAAACAGCAAAAAATTCAATACCTTGGAAACTGGATACACTGTTGATACAATTTTATAATTTATAATCTGACAGTGTAAAAATAATAAGTCCCATTAGAGCCCTAATGTTGAGAGGAAAGAGGTCCCAGAAGACCACAGTCTTATTTTATACATCTAATCTAAAATAAAGAGCATATCACACTATATTACACACATACACACAAACACACACACACACACACACAAACAGAACCACAGAATATTTTAAAAGGGAAGTGGATGATGAAATTCAAAAGGTGTTACCTCTATGGAGAAGGAAGAACAAGTGGACAAAGGGAACATTCAGGTGGTTACAGTGTATCAGAACTGTTCATTGTTAATCAGGGGAAATTCAATTACTATGTTTTAGATCTGAGATATTTTTTGTTTTATGCAATTTTGTATTTAAAAAGAGTTGCACATTTTCCATACATTTCTTTCTTAGTCTATCAAGTCTACTAATGCGGATTGGCACAACTAAAAAACTGCTAGTGTATATGATAAAATAATTAAATTTTCAAGTTTCTGGTGAACTTAGAAATACTTTGTTTATGAAATTCCTTGAACTCTGACTGACTTACCCAAGCAATGGATGTGATCCCGCACTGTGCAGTTGGCAGTGTAACGTTGCCGAGGACAGGACACTGTCATGCAGCTGGTGGAATTGGAGCACTCATAATCTGTTTCAGGAAGCTGCCAGCAAAATCTGCAAGTCATGTTGATGATAAAGCTCTTTTGGGATTTGAAGTCTTGATCCTATACACCGAAGGACACAGAATTAATCAATCATGATACAGTTATTTGTCATCATGTCATTAAGACTACATAGGCATATAATACAAAATTTCTAAAATACGTATATTTAGGACCTAGCAGTAAGTGGGAGAAAAATAGACACAAAAACAATATGTATGCAAAACAAATGTATGTTGTATGATCTTATAATCATAAAAATATACACCCAAATATATACTACATACCAAAGTGGGGAAAAACCTACATAAACTCATATCAAAATAGCAAAAGTTATTTCAGGGTGATAAGATTATTTTACCACTTTTGCCTAATTAACTTATTTTATAATCAGTACATGAATTTTATTTTAATTATTTATTTATTTTTGTGCCAGCAATTGAACTCAGGGATGCTTAATAGAGTACATATATTTTAGTAGTATAGAAAAAAGAAAAATTATTTTATAAGGTCATAGTCACAGATAGCTGCCTGATGCTTCTGTGAGCATAGCACACTGCCTTGCTTCCGAGTTCCAAATTTTCCCAGCATTTTCCAGCTTAGAACAATCACATGGCATATATGTCTGTATTGCTGTGTGTCATGTAGTTCTTCTCAGTTGGGCTGCCTATTGGGTGACCATGCCAAGTGCTCATGGAGATGACAGGGAAGACCTGGAACTCAGAAGCAAGGGAATGTGCTATGCTTACAGAAGCACCAAGCTGGGATCAGTGAACTTGGATCCTTCTCCAAACTTGCAGCTCAGTGACCCTCAAAAAAGGACACTCTTACCTTTCTTTCAGCTATATTTCTATCTGGGATTTATTTTGGACAAAACAGGGACTTAACTTTTTTTTTTCCCCAGAGAGGTATGCAGTCATTCCAGCATTTATTGAATCCATCTTCTCATTACAAAGAACTGACTCCTTTGCAAGCTCATCTATGTAAAAAGACATTTTCATGCCTCTATATTATACCAGCTCTCACTACCAAGAACACAGAACCCATCTGCAGGAATTACACCCACTTCAGATACACTAGTAAAATGAGACCTTCTCCAGGTCTTACAAAACAACATTTCTGTCCTGCACATTTTCATATAATACCAACTGGCTTGTCAGTTACCAACATAATTGGAACAGTAGCAATTTGATAAGGAAGGGAATACAGGATTTTAAAATTTATTTCTATTTATGTACTTTACAGGGCTGTTATAAAAGAATACAAAAACAATTTCAGAATCTCCCTCCAACAGTCAAATCTAACAACACTTTTAACTTGGGAATTTATAATGCATTTATTTAGAATAGGTAAGCTGCAGTACTTACAACACATGTAACAGAAGGTTTCACTGTACAGTCAAAAGTGACAGGCTTCCCATAGACACAGGAGAAATTTGTAGCACAGTCTATACAGTCTGCAGGAAGTCTGCTACATAAACCATTGCTTGGACACTTCATCATATAGGGTGGGATTTCGGTACTTTCTGTGAGAGGTGAGAGAGTGGCTTATTCTCTCTTGACACTGATCAGAATAACAGGAAAACAATTTTTCTAAGGTGAAGAGACACAAACATTAGCAATGAGACACTACGCTCGAATGCAAAAAGCACTAAGTTGGAGTCAGAGTCAGAGAGACACCTACAATTAAAGTATGGTTCTGCCACCAACCAGCTGTATGACCAGGTGGGCAGCATACTAGTAAAAAGTATTTCAGTCTTGCCTCCCAAGTGGCCATGAAAATTGAAGATGCTCATGTACAAATAATGTAGAGAAAATGTCAGATGCAAGTTAGCAGCTCAAAAAATCTACCATTTATAAGACGAAAAACTAAATCTTAGACAAGGTAGGAGTTATGAAAAATCTCAGGGAATCTATAGTACAAATGAAGCCAGAATTCAAATCTCTCCATTTCCAATCCAAAATTCTTTTCATTCAAATTTACTGAATAGGAAATGAAGCCACTGACACCTTTGGTGTACCAACTCTAGAAAACACTTTGTCATTATTCCACACTGATATTTCAATAAGCCATATTTGCTAATATAGTATTTATATTTTTATAACAAGGTTCAAATTAATTCCATATTTTAATAATTTTTTCAGCAAGTTGCAACTTTTTTCCCAATCCAAACAATGGGGCAACACATTTTTAACAGTTAATAGAACATAAAAGTCACTAGCATTAATGAGAAGAGGGGTTTTCAAAAATGTGTAAAAGAGCCAAGAATTCTTGCGTTTTCTCTTTAAAAAAAAAATGCATCTTAAATCACATTCAATCAACTTTCACATTCAAAAAGGAAGCCTAAAATACCTCTTCCAGTTTTGAGTCATTGGTATAATGGAACTCTAAAGGAATGAAACTACTTTCCATTTACCAAACACCACTGTATTAAGCAGTCAATCTACAAAATACAATTTTCTTTTCTATTGTTCCCATTTCTACGTGGCTGGAGTCTGGACACTTTAGAACCACAACTGCTTTCAGGCAGTTGGGCTAATCTCACAGCCTGAATGGAGAGGAAACAAAGGCCCAAGAGGGGTGAGTAATTTCCTCAAGTTCCCAATAGCACCATGAGACTCAAGACTTCATGTCTCCATTAATCCCTCTCATACGCTTCCAATTCATACAGCATTGGGGGGCCTTTTAATCACCAGCAGGAACTGGGTGCTAGAAATAGAAGGAATTTTCTGAAGGGAAAGAAGCACTGGTTAAAGGTTACTTTGATCGAGGAAGTGGAAAAATAACAGAAATAAGACTGAAATGAGAAGCGTGAGGTTGGAAAAGAGATGAGGTAGGAATGTCAAAAGGTATTCAAATACCAAAACTGTCTACTGAAAATGGCTGTGTATCTGCCCGTAATTCACATAACCTAAGATACAATACACAGTCAAAAATTAAGTGACTTCGTATACTAAAAGAAACTGTATCAAAAACAGAAAGAAACTACTGTATATAAAAAGGCACATTTACTAGAATAGAAAACGTCTAGTACCTGCTGCCCTGGGAACTACTGTGAATGTACGTGTTGGGCCCGGATCCTTTATTGCCTGAGCCAGCGGCTGCGAATGCTCTAAATTTAAGGATCCTACAATTAGAGAAACACGTTATCCCGGGATATGAAAACCTTGGTTTGTGTGGTTAACACGCAAGTACTACACCAAGCCAATAACTGCTCTTGAAAACCTCAGGGTCTGACTTCCCCAAGACAGAGAACTGAAAGGGCGCATCACCAATAGGGTCTACACCGTTTCGAGTCTGCAGCTAACAAAGGCGGTTTCAAGTTGGGTTTCTGTTTCCCCGGCGGAGCCACGGTGAGTTCCCTCTCAGCTGGAGGGTTCGGTAGCGAGGTAGCTGAGCACAGGCTCCGGCGAGGCATCCAGGGCAAGCCAGACTGCAGCTACCCGCCGCCCGCCGCCCAGCACGCAGCCTCTGTGGTCCCGGCCCCAACGCTTCTAGCAGCTCCTGGGACCCTCTAAACTCTCAGCCCGCCCTGGCGCGACCCCCGACCTTTAACTCACCACCACCAGATAGAATGTAGAACTGCGAGAGGAAGAGCAGCACGCGACACAAGCGGCGGAGGCGCAGGAGCGGTCCCGCCGCAGCTGCCATCTTGCCGACGCGCGCGCACTTCCGGGCCGGGGGGCGGGGTTCCCGGCGCGCGCCTAATGGGGGCGTGTCCGGGCGCGGCCTGAGAATTCCGGGGCGCAGGCGCTCTGAAGCTGTGGTCCCGCGCTAATCTGCGCCGTCCCCTTCTTCGCCGCACCTGCGGAAGGTCACCTGGAGGAGTGCAATCGCCTGACCCAGTGAAAATGCTCGGTCCCCTAGCGTCCCTCACACTGACTAGACGCGTGCCCCGCCTCCTTCTCCTTCCACTGCAGGAGCCTGGGAAAGGATCGCCGTAGTACCGAAATTCACCCGAGGTGACTGAAGGTAGAGGCGGAAATTTGGGAAGTTAGGCACTATATTCAGGTAGTTGGATGCATACGTTTAGAGATAAACGTTGCTACTGTGTGCTAGGTACTGTGCGAAGGTGCTGGGACCACATTTCATAACTGGCCCTGCCTTACTAGCCAACTCCTTAAGGATACGTGGTATTTAGAGAAAATTCCTGTACGACTGGGAAAAAGCCCGATGTGGGATTTTTCACGCGAAAGGAGGGTCCGAGCACAGCCTCTCCCCGAAGGCGACCAGCCTAGGGTAAGGAAGGGAACGCTTTACCCACCTATGTCTGTTCCCAGCACAGCAGACGTCTTGGGGTGCCTCTCTATTCCACCCCTCTTCACCCGCCACAAGATGGTTCACTTTGGGGTCTTCAGGCTGTCCATGAAATAGGCCGAGTTCGGGCCCCTCTAAAACTGAGAGCAGCTTCCTCATGCTGAGAGAGTAAAGGCTGAGGAGCTGACACCCCCCCCCACCCCACCCCGTCTAAGACACCAAGGAAGCCCACAATGCCAAATTGTTCCCTGCCCTGCCCTCTAACGTAGGCTAACTAAATCTGCATATGGGTATTTCCTAATTTTTGTCTCACTTTGCCTGCCTCTTCTCTTTTTTCAAAAGCTGCCTTGTCCTCAGAGCCTCCCAAGATGGAATTGTGAAATAAAAATTTTCTTCTAACTTCCTTCAAAGCTGGCTTTAAATAAAAAACCTGTTTTCCTACCAATCTGAATATTTTGGGAGCAACCAGCAGTGGAGTAGCCTCTTCTCCAGGGCTGTATTACTGTCACCCTCTAACACCCACTCTTTCCCTTGCACTTTTGATGAGTGAAAGAAGAAAAAAGAACACGGAATAACACCTGGCACATGCTTTAAAATTTTTATCACAAGGTACACGTATTACTACTACACAGGCCTGACATATGACACTTTGTTTACCAACTATTTCACAGTTCACATTCCTCAGGAAGTAAAAATCAGAAATCATTTTGAGTCTATAAATCAATAAAATGTCATTCCCAACAAAAAAGCAATTTAACTCTAGGTGAGCATCTTACTGGTATAAGCCCAAAGCCGAAACAAGGAAACACTGTGTGATGCATTGTATTGGGGAATTCATTATTTCTAAAGCCGAACAAAACTTAATTTTTAATTAGAAGCATTAAAACTGCAACTCTTAAACTACAATGCAAATAACAGATTCCACAACACTGAATTTCTTTGATGTTATGAGTCCTTTGTCAGTAATTCAATATTTATTAATACCTGCTTTACTTATTGTTGCCGGTTAGTTAAAATAATTAAGTAATGATTCCATTTAAATGAGATAGTTTCAATGTTAACTTAAAAACAGCCATAAAAATATCTGAGACATAAGAAAATAAGATTTCCCCTCAAAGTCAAAAAGGCTTTGTGGACTTTTAATGGAACCTATCTTTTTCCCCCCTTTTTTCTTAGTGCTGGGGATAGAACCCAGGTCCTTTTGAATTCTAAGCAAGCGCTCTGCAACTGAGCTCTGTCCCTAGCCCTGAAGCCTATCTGCTGAAAATCACAAGTCTTAGCAATAACTTCATATATCTCATTTTCTAGTGTTTCCATCTTTCAATGAATAATATCTCACTATTGAGGTCTCTGAAGTCATTGATTGCTTGGAAATTTCCCAAGCTTCTCTTCTTATCATCTTCAGAACACATTAATGAATTAACTTTATACATATATGCTAATCATTCACTGTGACCCATTTCAACTGATCCCATGAGTGGATCCATCAGTGGGTCCAAAGTTCTTAGAAGTTCTAACATGTTAGTTAGGAAAAATACATTTGCAAAGGTCAAAATAGATTACATAGAAGCAAGTACAAGGAAAGCACTTTAAAAGTCTTCCTCAGCATTTAGTGTACGTGATTTCTTGAGATTCTTCAATTTATTAATGGCAGAAGTTACTGAAATCTCTCCATGAATTTTGTTGTCTCTTGTTCGAACATTTACAGCATTATTTATCTTTTCTTTTTCTCCAACCACTGTAGAAAGGAAAGGAAATAAATCAACCATTAAGTCAAATGTGGTATTATGAGTCTAACTGAATTTTTCTTCAGTATTAGTCACTAATTATCTATCTAATGGTCATTAAGTTCATGCTTTAGCTGAGTGTCTTGAGGTAAGGAATGACTTCTAATCACATCTTTTTACTGCTCACTTGAGAATACAGTATTGTGGCCATGGGGCATGAATTAGAGCAGGAAATATTACAGATCCCCTGACTCTACCTGGTGGTACTTGATAAGTCAAAAGATGCACACAGACCCATGCTGGCCAACCAGAATTTTCTGGGATGTGGGCAAAAAGCTTGTTCTCGGTAGTAATCCATATTGTGAGATGATAGCAGGAATCTGCATCCATGTTTCTTGCCACACAAAAGGAACAAACTGGTCCACTGATAATTTCAACAAACTAGATACTCAAGTGAAGCATAAATGACTGGTGCAAAAACAGGAACCAGAAATGGGGAGAGATAATCCTTGTAAGGGCTGAGGCTCCTGTTTACTTTTCTAATGGTTTGGCTGTTTAGGTCTACTTTTCATGACTTGGGTACCCTTCTGATAAATCTTTGTCTAACCTAATTTGAGATTCTGTCACCACAATGAGCCTGATTAAACAACACAATACCTACCACAGAGTCAAACATTATCAATGAACAACTGTCAATAGGACAACTTTTTATGCATATTGATTGTGTTTTCTACTACTCTTTCAGCTTATGAGAGAGAGCAATACCATGCCTGCAGGCATGTCAATATCAGTTTCTCTTGATTATACAGGTTTACAATCAAAATTTTAGATTCTGTATCCAATTACTCATGTTCCTTAAGGTATTTTTTTTCACCTTAATTCTTTTCTTTTGAAAATTTGGAATCTTTCTCATTCATTTGTTTAATTCCCATGATTTCTAATAAACCAGCAAAGCAAGGAAAATATTTCAGTTCTGTCACATGGCTGAAACATAAGGAGAATAATTCTACTGAAGAGGTTATTTTCAAATTTCTTTCATTTTCATTTGAGATGTTCACTATTGTTAATAATACTATACAACAGGATTCATGTGGAACTTTATAAGTCTTCATCTAGCAAATAACAGAGGACCTAGCAACAGCTAATCCAGGACTCTTCTTTGTACATAGATATTAAACAGTCAAACTGTCATAATCAAGTAGTTATGCCATAGTCCTTATTTTGCCTTTTTTAAAAAATTAAAGCAAAATAATATAAACAAACTGAAAAAATATAAACAAATTTAAGTTACCCAAAATAAAATTATATTGAGCCAACTGTGCATTTCTTATTTTCTTATTCAGTGTACAACTGTCATCTAAATCAACATCGGCCATAAATCCTTCTTCAAAAAATTCATTGGATACCTGGAAGAACAAGGAATACTTTCATTATTACATTATTTTTGGTAGACAGACTGACTCTAGGACAGCCCTCATTATTCCCATCTGATATTCATACCCCTGTGTAGCCCTCTACCCTGTATCAGAGTCGGTCTGTTACCCACAGAGGAGGGCAGAAGTGGTGGTAGTACACTTCTGAGGCTGGGTTATAAAGGACTGCATCTCTCACTCCCCAGATCACTCAAGCTGCCATGTTGTGAGGACATTCAGGCAGCCTAGGAAGAAGTCAATAAGGTAAGGAGCTGAAGTCTATGTGAGTAAGCCTGGAGGACTGCAGCCTCATCAGACACCACACCAGAATGCACTAGCTATGCTGCTCCCAGATTCCTACCTCGAGGATGCTGAGATAATAAAGACTTGCTGTTTTAAGTTGCTCAGTGTTAGGGAAATTGTTATGCAGTAACAGATAATAAGGTATTCTTCTCTAATAGAACCATATGGAAAAGAATAATTTAATTATGTTTTGAAATACTAATTTTTCAAAAACACTGTGATTCAACTACATGGATATGACCCGTGTTACTTCCAATAACTGAAAACTTATTAAATTAATGTGTTAGTTATACAGTATTTTAAAGCAGGAATGACATTTCAAGCCAATGACCGACACAGAATACATGGCAAAGTATTAGGTACTTCAAATGTCTCTAATTTTACCTGAACTGCATATTCTTCACAAGTTGAACCCACAGGGATGACCATCACCTGACGAGGAGATAGCCAGAAAGGCCTGAAAAGTATACATTTTCAAAATCATTTCAAAATGACCACTTATTCTGTGATTAAAAAATAACCAAAGATTTTTTTTCAAGTATGGCTTTACAAGAGAGCAATTTCAGTGGAATGGTGTAGAAGCAAACCAAACCACATTAAGAGTTAAAAGGCAGTAGAGTAGACAAAAGGAGAAACCTGGAATTTTGATAGGAAAAGAGAAGGAAGAATGGGTTGGAACACAGATGGAAGGTTAATCACATACTTGTGCTTCTGGGCATTTATCCCAAATAAATGAAGACTTATGTTCACATAAATCCTGCACACTAACATACATAGCCGCTTTATTTGTAATAGCCAAAAGCCATAAATACCCCAAATATCCTTCAGCAGGAGAATGGTCAAATTTTGGTGCTTCCACACCATGGAACATCATTAAGTAAAAGTGAACCAAGTGTTGGTACTTGACATAACACTGATGGATCTCAAAGGAATTCCACTGAGTTAAAAAAAAGCTGATCTGAAGAGGTTGCATACTATATGATTCCGCGTACTTGACAATCTTAAACTGACAGCATTATGGAAATGCAGAACAAATTCATGGTTTCCAGATTGGTGGACAGGAGTGAGATAGAGCATTAGTGGGAATAATAAGAATAGGAGGGTCCTTATAAGTGAGTCTTGACTGGCAGCAGTTATTCCATCCAGACACTGTGATAAAAACCTTATAGAACTAAGCACACACACGTGTGTGTATGTGTGTGTGTGTGTGTGTGTACAGAAACACACACTCTCTTAAATGAGTACAAGTGAAAGTGGTGAAATCTAAATGAGGTTGGTAGATCATATCAATGCTTATTTTCTAGGTTGTGATACTTAAATTCGGCAAGTGTTGCCATGGGGGTGGGTGGAAACTGGGAAAAGACTATGCTGCACCTCTCTGTATTGATTGTGTCAAAATGTAATATTTTTTAAAAAACATGGAGGGGTAGGTAAAAGCAATGTTTGATGTGGACATTTGCCTATTTCTTCATCATAATTTGTAGGTGGAAGGGTATGCAATGGGGATTATTCCCAGACAGTTCTTTGTGAATGTGCATATTTATATATTTTTTCTTAAACTGTAGAAATAAAATAACATATGATGGACATAATTAAACATTTGATGAAAAACAGAGTGTATAACGTGCTCTGGCCTCAGTCTGTCCCCAGTCTTACTTTCCCCAGAGAACCACATTTTAACTGTTTTTACTTTTAGTTTTTGGAGACATTTCCCTCACAGGTCAGCTGGTGTCAGAAATCTTGGTCCCTGTGAGGAGGACAGCCCATACCACATACTGGCACCACCTCCTGTCTCCTACTTCATCTCCTAATTCCACTAGTTATCTTTAGTTGTTTTTTGTTTGTTTGTTTTTGCCACTTTCACACTACCATTTTAATGTAAGACACCATCATTTCAACTGGATTTTAAATTAACAACATGGACATTCCTTCACCAAGTTCCAAATCACTACATGGCCTCTGGGGATACAATTTGCCTTCAGTAGTGATACATACTGATCCTAAGGTATGGTACCATCAAAATTATTTTGAAGGTAGAAGGGAATACGATTGGGACTATTCCCAGATGGTATTTTATGAATGTATATATTTATGTATTTTTCTTAAATTGCAAAAATGAAATAATATATATGGTAAACATAATTACATATGATAAAATACAGAATATTGGGTATAAAAGAAAGAAATATATACATATTAACTCACACTTAGTATCTATAGTCTTGCCTATATTTTTGGCTTCTGTATAATTTTAATAGCTTAAAAGCTCCATGACACCACAATATATTTCTCCAAGGTCATAAATCAAATATCTCAGATATACACAGACTCTCTAATTGCCCAGTACTTTTGGAAGACTCTCAGGGAAATTTCCTACCTTATGATTCCTGCTCAGAAATTTTCTTCCCTGCCCTCTCTTGCCATGAACACTAGAATGCATGTGTGGGAACTAGTTTGTGGAAGATACACAAATACAGCACCCTGACTATAATATACATATATATATATATATATATATATATATATAATTATATAATTACTCATATCATGAGTAAAGTGGCCAGTAGGTAATATTCATATATATTATATATATATTTTAGTTGTTGATGGACCTTTATTTATTTATATATGGTGCTGAGAATGAAACCCAGTGCTTCATACATGCTAGGCGAGCGCTCTACCACTGAGCTACAGCTACAGCCCGTCACAGGGCTTTTGAGGAACCTGTGACAATGACTCTAGCACTGACAGCCAGTGCCCAGTATCCACAGTCGAAGCTACAGGTATTATGCCTAGCAATAATAGTGGTGGGGGCTATAGATCCTGAAGGCAGAATCAAACTACATGAGCAAATAGTCAGTTTCTTAAACATGGGATGGGAACCAAAAATGGCTGGTGTGCCGCATTTTCACAGGTTGTAGAATGCACCTTCACGGGATGTGGGCTGTAATTCCAGGTGTGGCTGGCTACTTCTGAGAGCAGTGATAGTGAATTCAACAATACTGGCTCAGGCCTTACTTCTTGGCTATAAATTACTTCACAGTGCTGCTGGCAGAAAGCATGGTAGGAAAGAAAAACAAAGTAAAATTCAGAGTAACTGTCTTCTATGAAAAGAAAGTGAACTTTGCTATCTTTTCTGGCACTGGCACTTGCTGAAAGGGATCCAATGTAATCAAACTGCCACAAGACAGCTGGCTGCTCCCCCTGGGTTATGGTACCATACTGTGGGATCAAGATATATCATTACCAATGGTAAACTGTGTCCCCAGAAGATATGTAGTAATATAGAACTTGGTAAGGGAATGTCCATGTTATTGAGCTCATGCATATCACCTACTGGCCACTTTATTCATGATATGAATAATTATGAGGGACAAAAAGAAGTTGATGATAACTGAATGGGCCCTCTTGTATAGAATGCTGAAACTCTCTTCAACAGTGAGGACCTTACAGTGGGCAATACCACTTTCATGGCCCATTCTGAGGAATCATCCGTAAGTCCTCTTCCCTAAATCTATCTGGCATTTATTTTTCCAATCTAATTATTTCTATATCTCTGGTCTTGTGGCCAAAGTAGTACCCAGAGCCCTACATCAATGTAAAACTTCAGACCTCTGGCCAGTTTTCCTTCCAGGCAGAGGGGACCATAGGATGTACCATTCTACATTCTGCATTGGAGAGCATTTTCCTTTTCCGCAGTCATCCCTTGATTGGACTGTGATGCTGTGGCCATTCTCTCTGGGTTTATACCAGTGTATTATTCAGCTATTTATGGATCAGGTTTCCATGTTTTCTTCCCAGACAATGGTCACAAGGAACACCCAAAGGTAAGCAATACAAACTGAACAAGAGATGGCAGTGTGACAAGAGACAGTACCCTGGGAAACTGAACACGTGTTTTCCAGACAGTAAATGGATCTTTGACAGGCTTAACACAGGTGAAAAGATAACTCTTTAAAAGGACTGAGTTCCCCAAAGGGAATATAGTGCAATTTTATGTCACTCTGTTTTTGCTTTCTTTGTTTCTGTTTTCTGATCTGGCAAAAGGAACAATAATTCTTATTTATTCTTTGCATACCTGCTAATTATAAAAGCAGGAGCTGCCATTTTTCCTACCAATTTAATGTTGTTAGCCATGATTTTTTAAAAATAAGAGACATCTAGCTTTTCTCTTTCGTGTCACTTACCATTTCCCCCCATAGTTTTCTGCAAGAATGGCTATCATTCTTTCCACTGATCCCAACACTGCTCGGTGAATGATCACAGGTCTCTTCTTATCATCCCCATCCTTACTAAAAAATGAAAATTATACATTTGAGTATTTTTCTAAAATTAGGTAATAACTTTATTATATTCTTACCTTATATTTAATTTTGTCTATAGATTTAGATTAGTGTTTCTGGGTATCTTTCCATTGACTATTTCTTTAGTGGCTGTTTTATTTCCTCAAAACAAAAGATTGCTTTGTCTTTTGTTTCATTATTTTTAACAAATTTTATTAGACAACACTTAACACATACAAAAGTACAGAGAGTAATGCAATCAATTCCCATATTCTCTTTCTTAAATTCACAGGCAGTTTTATCTGATCCTATGTACCCCATTCCTGCCACTACTGTGCCCACATAGTAAACCTAATTTTTCAAATTGTTTTTAATATTTGTTCTAGAAGTCCACTGGTCAAATTCCTTTCATAGACCTAAAACCTTCATGACACATGTCTTACATTTAATGATCTACTCCCCTTTAGAAAAAAATAGAAAAACAAAGTATGACTCTTAATCAAAATGAAGTAACCACCCTGAGATCTATGTGCACATTTCTCAGAAAGATAAATTTTACTTCACTATAACAAATATAATAGGTTCTTATGAGAAAATTTTATCTACAAATTGTACCAGCTAGGTACTACTAAAACATACACAAACCAAACAAAAACAGAGACTAATTAATTAGCTTTACTTCAAATGAAGTAATATTGGATAACATCTCCATCAATAATTTCTGCTAAGGGAAATTACCTTTAGATCAACATCAAACAAAACTCCCTGTCTAGATCCCTCAGAAAGTTTTGGGGTGAGTGAATGGCTTCAATCCAGCCTTATGCAGGCATATGTAGAAATCATTTATCTCACAAACTTAAACCAGCATAAGATATTCCTGAATGATATATTATGTTGTTTTCTATAGGAAACAAAAGAGAAGCAGGATAGCCCCTTCATAAAACCCTGGTAACCAGAAATTTCTGTCCCATGATTCATCAAGTGTAGACTTAACGGCAGTCAGTGACACCAACTCTGCTTTTCTCAAATAAACATTAGAATGAATGTCGAGTTTCCCCCAAAATAATCTCAATGGATTTTCACAGAATCATATTAGATTCATAGATAAATTAGAAGATATTATCTTTACAATGTTGATTCTAAGAATGTTGTGTGAATCTTCATTTAAACAATTCTTTACTGACTTTTGATAAAATGTTATAGTGTATACTTTGTAAATATTATGTATTTCTATTTCTTATTAAGTTTATTCTTAGATATTTTGCATTTTGTTGTTTCTGAAATGTTTTTTACATTACATTTTGAGGCAGGTTATTACTAAATGGATATGAAAGCAAATTGAAATTTGTACTTTGTGCTTACTGCTTACTAATAATAACTTACTGTATTATTAGTCCCAATTTTTCTCCATTTGATTCTGTCAGATTTCAAGAATTTTGGGTTGTTTTTGGCAGTTGTAGGGGTTGAACACAGGGCCTCACAAATGGTAGGCAAGTGCTATACCACTGAGCTGCATCCCTGGCCAATTTCTAAACATTTTAACATTTACAAATAATAACAACTTAGTCTCTCTCTTTTTTTTTTTTTTTTGAATATTTGTACTTTCAGAATAGTTCTGAGTAATGGTACAAATTGTAGGCATAATCACCTTCTTCTCAACTATATTGAGGGGTTACTATTGTTTTTTGATAAATGTTCCTATTATAAGAAGGGAATTTCTTTCTGCCCATGACACAGGAACGAATGCTAAGTTTTACCTGACACCTTCCTGCAAGGCTGAGTCTCGTGTTAAACCTCCCTTGCTAATATAGGATAAATCCCTATTCCATCACGGCGATGACCTCGATGCTTTTCTCTCCTTCCTAAGCCTGAATAAATCACATTGGTTCTTCCTCTAGAGCACACCCCAAACACACCCTCTTTGTTCACCTCTATCACCTGGTTCCATCCATTGTCATCTCTGACCTGTTCACAGACTGCTGCTGCCTCTACTTCTGCTCTCCCTCTCTCCACTGTCCACATACACCTTGAATAGCTGGCTGGCTGATTTGTTTCTCCTCCACGTCCTCCTTGTATGAGGAGTGGTTGTTCATTTATTCTAACCATCTTAAAAGGATAATATTCTATCAAAAATTATTAAATTTTAAACATGTCAATAATTTTCCTTCTTTCCCAAAAGGAAACCTAAGCAATAGTTTCAATGGCTAATTTAACCAAATATCTGAAAAAGAAATAACATCAATTCTACATAATCTTTTCCAGAAAATAGAACAAAATGGAATAACCTTCCCAATTTATTTTATGAGGCCAGAATTCACAGATACTTGTACAAAGACAGTATGAGAAAGAAAATTAAAGAAAATATCCTATATGAACATACATTCAAACATTCTCAACAAGCCATTAGAAGATCAAATCCACTAATACATAAATAATAACACTGTATGACCAAGGGGATTTTATCCCAGCAATGCAGTGCTACTTCAACATACTGAATAAACAAAATCTACCATAATTATAGACTAAAGAAGGAAAATCACATGACTATATGAATTTATACAGAAAAACAATTTAACAAATCTAATAATTCAACACACATTCATGATTAAAAAACTCTTGAAAAATTAGAAATACGAGGGAACTTCTTTAACTTGACAGAGTATCTACAAAAAGCCTACACATTAACAGTATGATTAAGAATAAAACACTGTATACTTTCCTTCTAAGATTAGAAACAAGGCAATGATGTCCACTCTCATCCTCTTACTCAAAGCAATACTAGTTCTAGCCAGTGCAATCAGGCAAGAGAAGATAACAAAAGGAATACAAATCAGAAACAGAAATTAACTGTCCCTGTTTATACCTGGAATGATTGTCCACAATCATGTAGAATCCTGAGAATTCTACAAAAATACAAAAGTAAATGTCCTAGAATTAATGTGAGTTCAGCAAAGTCTCAGCATACATGGTCAACTTACAAAAATCTGCTGCATTTTCCCCATATGAGCAATGAACACATGTATATAAAAATTAAAACTATAATTCCACTTAGAATCATCCCTTAGAAGTGAAATACTTGGATATTTGATATCTACATCTATGAAGATTTGCAAAGGACTTCTATGCTAAAATTTGGAAAAAATGAGGAAAGAAATTAAAAGGTCATGGATCGCAACAGAGTTCAGATGTCCATCTGACCCAAACTAAATGCAATTCCAATCAAAATTCCTCCCAGGATTTTAAATAGATTTATTAAAAGCAAAATAATTCTGAAAAATTATTTATTGTAAGTTTTTTACTATAAAGCTACATGGTGGGGCTGGGATTGTGGCTCAGTAGTAGAGCGCTCACCTAGCATGCGCAGGGCCTTGGGTTCGATCCTCAGTACCACATAAAAATAAATGAATGGAATAAAGGTATTGTGTACAACTAAAAAAATTAACATTTTTTAAAAAAACCTACATGGTGTTAACAAAGGTATAATCAGTGGATCAGCAGAACAGATTGAAGATCTAGAAACACATCCTCATAAATATGTCTCTGTGTGGGGGCGGGGAATGTAGGGGTTTGAACCCAGGGCACTTTACCACTGAGCTATATCCCCAGCCCCTTCTATTTTAGTTTGAGACAAGATCTCACTAAGTTGCCAAAGCTGGCCTTGAACATGGAATCCTCCAGCCTCAGCCTCCCAAATTGCTGGGATTTCAGGTGTGTGCCCAGCTGTCCAACTGATTTTGATTTTTAATTTTAAAAAATTTGTCTTTTTAGATATACATGACAGTAGAGTATGTCCAACTGATCTTTGCAAAAGCAAATCAATGACAAAAGAATGTTCTTTTTAATGAATGATGTTAAACAATCTAGATGCAACGAACCCTAATCTATACTCTACATCTCATTCACACACTCACACACACGCACACACAAATGCAAGAGATATCTTAGATCTAAATGTGAAACTTAAAACTAGAGATAAAACATAGGAGAAAATCTTCATGACCTGTGTGCTTACGCAAAGAGTTCATAGACATGATGCCAAAACTCACAATCCATAAAAGAAAAAAAAATTATAAATTAAACTTCATTCAAACTAAAAACTCAATATGAATGAAAAGATACTGTAAAAATCAAAAAGCAAGCTACAAATTTGGAGAGAAAATATTTGTAAATAACTTAACGATCAAAACATTTATACCTAAAATATTTAAAGATATAAATTCTCAAAATTCAAGGGTAATAAAACAACAAAAACCCCAATTTTAAAATGAGGATAAGACATGAACAGGTCTTTAGCCAAAAAGCATATAAATGGGAAATAAGCACACAAAAAATGTTAATTTTGTTAGGACTGAAGAAATACAAAATCAAAACATAATGAAATACTATTATGCATTTGTTAAGGAGAATCTTAAACAGGGTTAGGGATATAACTGAGAGGCAGAGTGCTTGCCTAGCATGGAAGACCCTCAGTCCCCAGCACCACAAAAACAAACAAACAAATAAACAAACCCGGACAATACCAAGTGTTCTCAAGGAAGTGAAACATATATAACTCACATGCATTCCTGGCAAGAATATGAAATGGTAAAGTTACTACAGAAAACAGTTCAGCAATTTCTTACAAAGTTAACATACACTTATCATATTTACTCTAAAGAAATAAAACTTTCATTCACATAAAAACCTATCCACTAATGTCTGAAGCAGCTCTATTCATAATCCCCCCAAAATGCAAATGAATCAATGCCTTTAAGTGAATGACTAGACAAGCAAATTGTGCTGCATCCATACAATGATGGTATGCTGGTCAGCAATAAACAGGAACAAACTATTCAAACATGCAAAAACACCCATGAATCTATAAGGCATTATGCTATGTGAAAGAAGACAGACAGTCTCTTAAGGTTAATATAGCATGATTCCTTTTATATGACATCCTGGAAAAGGCAAAATTATAGTGACAGAGAACATATTAATTGTTGCCAAGGACTAGGGGCAGGAGGAAGTTTGACTGCACATAGTCAGCACAAATAAATTTATTGGAATAATATAGTCATAACTGTGAAGTCAAACCACTCTATATGTGCATTAAGGCTGGCCAAACTGTACACATGCATCTACACACACACAAACACACACACACACACACCACAGAGTTTCACTGTATGTCAAGAAATATTTTTACAGCAAGAAGTTATTGGTTTGAAAAATTTGCCTTTTCCCCTGCTTTCTCTGGCAACTATCTCATCCTCACGTCACTCCAGCTCTTTGTGAAGTCTTCCCCCTATGCCTCAGGGACAGTTAACCACCTGGACCATGTTTTCATGGTACTTTGTTCAGATCTCTAATCCTATGCTTACTTATCTTTCTTCCCCTACCAGACCATGTCCTCAGAAAATTAAAGTTGACCCCTCTTATGGTTTGGATGTATATGTGTTCCCCAAAGGTCATGTGCTGGAAGTTTGGTCCAGGGATGGAATTCAGGACCTTGTGCATGCTAAGCAAGCATTCTACCACTGATGTGGTAGATCTTTAACAGGTCAGGCCTAGTGGGAGGAGATCAGGTTATAGGGTCCTTAGCCTCAGAAAGGATTAATGTCGTTCTCAGAGGACTAAGTTAGTTCTCAGGAGAGCAGGTTGTTATAAGGCTACCCCACACACTTGCCCCTTTCTATATGCAGCCATTTCCCTTTCCGTTTCTCTGCCACATTGTGATGTAGTCAGGAGGGCCCTTGCCAGATGCTGGTTCCATGCTGTTTGAGCTTTCCAGATATCATAATAATTAGTTGAATAAATGTCTTTTCTTTATAAAGTACCCAGCTTTAAGTGTTTTGTTGTAGCCACACAAAATGAACTAAGAAAATCCCCAAGTAGTTTATAAATACGTAAACAAATACATATTGAATATTTGGCATATACTAGATATACACTAATGTTTATTTTTATATATTCATCTCAAATGATAAATAATTAGGATATTAGTACTACTTTATTTAATCATATTAATCACTCACCTAACATATGTAAGATTAAATCTAATAGGCAGTTGGAAGTCCAGCTGAATTGTAGCACATTGGTGGTATCTGCCAATAGCATCCTTGATTTTTATATCAATCTATAAATTAAACAATGTTTGCTTAGTGACAGTTGAAATTTTTCTTTTAAATTTTACTTTTTTTAATGCATACAATCCACTTACTTTAGGGCCATAAAATGCTCCATCTCCTGGGTTCATTTTCCATGGTTTTCCAAATTCCATCAAGCTATTTTGCAGTTGCTATTTTAAAGAAGAAAACATTTTAAACTTCTATTTTATTGCATATTTTATCTTTTTTCATATACCTCATAAAAATGAATTCAATATATCTTATATTTTACATTAGCTCAATATATATTTATTGAGTATCTTTTATATTCAATAGGGATTATAGAAAGATGATTAAGATGACATTTCTCTCAACATACATGCATACATTTTTTTAAATATTTATTTTTTAAGATGTACTTGGACACAATACCTTTATTTTATTTATTTTTATGTGGTACTGAGGATCGAACCCAGGGCCTCGCACGTGCTAGATGAGCGCTCTGCCGCTGATCCACAACCCCAGCCCCCACATATATACATTTTAGTTGGGGGGAAAAAGAGATAATTTACTAAATTATTCCAGTGAATTCCAGAGTTTAGAGAAAGGATGCTTGGGTCCTCCTTCCAATGCAAGTTCCTTCTGACAGCTTCTGCATCCTGGTGAAAGTCCAGGATCTGTTTCACCTTATAGATGGATGCTCCTCCACATATGAAAAGGCATGAGAGTCTTGCCCTTGCTCCCTCTTTCATGCTGTGTGGGTGGGTGAGAAAGCTGAATGGTAGGCCTTGCTACTTCTCTTTAGCTTCTCCTCCACTTCTGCATGTGTCTGGGGCTGGGGGCACCCCATGATTTATAGCAGTGTGTGGGCATGAGGCTCCACTTTGGTCTTCAGCCTAAGCCACTACCTCTCCACACTCTCTGCACAATTTGTGATGAAGATGTCCCACACTAAAGATGAGTGGGTGTCTGTAGTAAAGGGGAACTTTGAGTCTTCTGGCATTCCTGTGAATGCAGCTTTCCTAGGAAGAAACTGAGCATTCCTAAGATCTTGACCAGAACACTGTCAAAATAACAGCCAAATTCTTGTTATCACCCCAAAATACTGGTGCCCAGGAATGAGGCCTGACATCTGGGAGTGAGGTGCTTTTGGAGGAGTCCAAGGCAGAGGTGGTGCACAGGGCCTGTGGCTAGAGTTATGAAGTCGTGGCATGCTCCCAGGACTTCAGTCAGAATACGGTCTTGAGAGAGACAGAGATGTCCTTCCTGAGGTCTGGGAGTGTCCCCTCATGCGCTGACCCTAACCTTGGCTTTTCAAAGCTGAGATGTGATGTCTAAGTCTGGGTGTGTTCAGGCATAGAGTGGGCTCTACAGCCTGGGTCTGACTCAAGCACCATGAGCATGCATCTCAGGCAGAGACCACATCTCTGAGACTCTGAGTCAGACTAAGGTAACTCCACAGGCAATGCTTTAAAATCAACTACACAAACCAAGACATACTGCAAATAAAAGGATTTCTTAAAAAATGTATGCCAGTTATTTGTGACTGGCACCAAATAAGGGTACAAATGAAAACCTGACATAAACTTTTAAGTGTTAAACAAATGTTTTCATCATGAAGGCAACTGGACAAACACATTCTACAACCTGCATATTGATCCCATGACTTCTCGTTTTAAAATTTCTAGAGAAGTGCAGTTTCTTGAGTGCTTTTCATACCTACAAAAATGAAAGGGGAGCTTTTTCTTTCTCCTTACCTTTTCAGCTTCATCCCACATCTCAATTTCTCCAAGGTAGTTTTCTGGCCTTGTGGCCAGGTTTAATTGAAAGGAGAAGCCAAATGTTGAGTAAACTGATTGTAAAAACTGCAAACACCCCTTTATTTCTTCTTCAATCTGAAATCAGAGCAAATGAAATATTCAAATAGAACACCAAATTAAATTTATTTAGGACATTTAAAAAATTCTTCATATCAGATAAAGCCTGATTTTAATAGAGTACATATGACAGTATTTTGGTTGCCTATCCATTCCTGATTTGCATCTTCATTTGTGGGTCAGGCATATGCAGGATGCAGACAAGGGCACCACATTGTGAAAAGACAGTGGTACACCCAGAACAGGAGGTAAAGAGGGCTGCCCAGAGGAAGTTAGGGCCACACTGTGGCCAGAGGCTGGGCAAGAGTTCTCTGTAGAGAGGCAGGGTGTGGCCAGTGGGTTCCCAGTCCAAGCAGAGGAAACACTGAGGGTGAAGGTCAAGGTCAGAGGAGCAGACAGTCAGGGAGCTTCTTACCATACAAGGGAGAGCAGACAGGGATGAGTGGTATATGATGAGGCTAGAAGTACGCAGGGACCAGAGAAAATAAAGTACCTACAAAGCCAGGGTCATGTCTGGATGTGTTACCCTGACAACAATGGGGAACCAGTGAAAGGTTGAGGGGACTAATCTGAAACAAACTGTTCTTTTGCTGTATGGAAACTGACTGGCAAGGCTAGAGAAGTGTGTCAGGAAGCTGGTGAAGTTGTTCAGGAATGATACGATAGTGCCTTGAACCCAGAGAGAGCAGTCAGAATGCAGGGGATTGGTTTAAGAGGTATTTATCCTTTAGTTTTATGTGTCAACTTGACTGGGATAAGGAGTAGCTGGAAAAACATTATTTCTTATATTTGTAAGGGTGTATCTGGAAGTGGTTAGTATTTGAATCAGTAGACTCTGGGTAAAGATTTGTCCTCACCAGTATGGGTAGGTACTACACAATCTGTTGAGAGCCCCAAGAGAACAAAAGGGTAGAGAGAAGGCAAATTAAATTCTCTCCCCGCCCCTTTCTTTTTTTTAATTTTTAATTTTTTAAAATTTTGATTTGTTATATATGACAACAGAATGAATTACAATTCATATTACACATTTAGAGCAGAATTTTTCATATCTCTGGTTGTATACAAAGTAGAGTCACATCCTTCATGTCTTCTTACATGTACTTAGGGTAATGATGACCATCACATTCCACCGACTTTCCTACCCTTATGCCCCCCTCCCTCTCTTCTTAAACTGGGACATCCATCCTTTACTATCCTTAGACATAGGAACTTCTGGTTCTTTGGCCCTTGGACTACGGGACTTACACCAGTTACTCTACTCACAGTTCTCAGGCCATGGGTCTCATATTGGTAACTAGGAATCACCCACCAGTTTTCCTGGTTCTCCCACTTACAGATGGTATATAATAGGGCCTTCCTGGCCTCTGTAATCATGTGAATTGATTGCCATAATAAATACCCTTCTGTATATCTCTATATATTCTATTGGTTCCCTTTCTCTGAAGAACCCTAATACAAAAAGTAATTGCCCTTGTATTAAGCATTATGCTGAATGCTGGGAATTCAAGAATGAATGCAACCATTCAGGAAGTAATGCTATATTTAGGGAGAGTGATCAAAAGGTCTTATAGATTTTCCCATTATTGTTCTATTTATTTCTACTTTAATTTCATTGTGGCTAGAAGAAACCTTTTATGATTCCAATTATTTCAAATTTGTTGAGGTTTGTTGTATGGCTTAGGCTATGATTCATCTGGGTAATTCTATCCCTCCTTCCCTCCTTTCTTTCGCACTAGGGATTGAATGCAGGGGTGCTTTATCACTGAGCTACATCCCCAGTTCTTTTTTGAGACAGGGTTTTGCTAAATTGCTGAAAGTCTCACCAATATGCTGAGGCTGGCCTTGAACCTATGATCCTCCTACCTCAGCCTCCCAAGTCACTGGGATTACAGGTGTGCACCATATAGTTTTCTTTAGTGGTTTCTCTAGGTATTATTTAACTATCACAATCTACTGATGCTATGATTTTACCAACTCAAGTGAGTGTAGAAACTTTACCTCCTTTTATCCTAGTCAGCTTGGACTGCCACAACAAACCATAGTTTGTGTGGCTTAAACAACAGAAGTTTATTTGTCACAATTCTGGAGGCTAAAAAACAAGATCAAGGAGATGGTAGATTCAGTTTACTGGTGAGGGTTTTCTTCCTGTCTTGTAGACAGCTGCCTTCTTATTGTGTCCTCACATGGCAGAGAGGATAGAGAGAGAGGCATCAAGATCTCCTGTATCTCTTCATATAGCAGTATTTGTCATATCATGAAAGCCCCACCCTTGTTCTCTCATATAAACCTAACTGATGTCCCAAACTCCATATCCAAATGCCATCCTATGTCAGGGGTGAGATGAGGTAGGGCTTCAGATATGAATTTTGGGGTGAAAAACTAAGTTCACAGCAACATATCTGCAATATTTTCCCCACATTTTATCATATTTTTGATGATATTATAAATGATTATTCTTTATTTTCAATTTCCAATAGTTCACTGCTAGTATATAGAAACAAAATTGATTTTTATATATTGATATTCCATACTACAATTTTTAAAAATTTAGTTCTCATAATTCTTTTGTAAATACAATAAGTTTTTTGTAGATGTCATCCATGACATACACGGTCATGTCATCTGCAAGTTAAGAATTTCAATTCTTACTTTCTAACCTGGATATTTATTTCTCTGTTTTGCATTTTTTCTTTACAGAAATTGTCCAGTTTAATAATCAATAATAAAACTAATGAGAAATGACATTTTTATCTTATTCCTAACCTTAAGTATGACATTAGCTATAAGTTTTTCACAGATGCCTTTTATCAGGTTGAGGAAGTTCCCTTCCATTCCTAGTTTCTTAAGCATTTTTATGAGAAATGAATGTTGAATTTTACTTTGTTAATTACAAACTAAGTAACAGTGGCTTATTTTCTATTGTTAAATCAACCTTCCATTCCCTGGTCAAGATAAACTGTCCTTTAAAATATTACTGGATTTAATGTGCTAAAATTGTATTTAGAAATTTTGACATTATGTTCATGACATTGGTCTATAGTTTTCTTTAACTGGCTCTGCTTTGCTGCACATCAGGGCAATGGTACCTCATAGAATGAGATGGTAAGCATTTTCAATTTCCTAGCAGAATCTGTCTAGAATGGGTATTATATCTTCCTGACTTTTTGGTAGAATTAATGAATGAAGCCACCTAGGACTGGAATTTTCTTTGTGAGAAGTTTCAAACTATTGACTTAATTTCCATAATGGTCAAAGAGCCACTCATTTATTTCTTCTTGAGTGAAGCTTGGCATGTTTTTCAAACATCTGTCCATTTCATCTAGGTTGTCAAATTTGCTGATACAAAATTGTTCACAATGTGCCCTATTCCTTTAACGTACAAAATCCATAGTGATGGTACTTCTCATTCCTAATTTTTAAATTTTGTGTCTTATCTTTTTTTCCCTACATTTGACTAAAAGTTTATCAATTTCATTATCCTCTCAAAAATCAGCTTTTGCTTTTTAGTAATATTCTCTATTATTTTTCTTTTTTCTATTCCAGTGACTGTTCCTTCAGCAATTTCTGTGTTAGCTTTCTGTTGCTATGATAAAATACCTGAGATAATCATCTTAAAAGGAAACAGGTCAGTTGGCTCCATTGTTTTGGGCCTGTGGTGGGGCAGACTATCATGGCAGGGAGCACATGGTAGAGCAAAGCTTCTCACATCATAGCAGCCAGGAAGGAGAGCCAGGGGCAGGGAAGAAAGAAAGAGAGATGCCAGGGTCCCAGTATTCCCTTATCTCCTTCAAGGGCATGCACCTAATGACCTGACTTCCTCCAGCTAGGCTCTACCTCCTAAAGATTCCACCAAATTTCAACACACCATCAACTGGGAGCTAAGCTTTCAACATGTGAGTTTCTCAAGGGCATTTAAGATCCACATCATAATAATTTCTTGCTCTGTTCTTTATTATTTTCTTTCTTTCTTTAGTTTCCATTAGGTGTATTTTGCTCTTCTTTTTCTGGTTTCTTAAGTAGAAAATGAGGTGACTGATTTGAAACCTTTTATAATGTAGGTATACAGTGCTATAAATGTCCCTGTGTAAACCATTTTAATTTGTGATGTTTTTCTCATTTTCATTCAGTGTATAATATTTTCTGATTTCTCTCTTGATTTTTTTCTTGATATATGAGTTATTCTGAAGTGTGATATTTACTTTCCAAATATTTAGAAGTTTTACAAATAGCTTTCTGTTATTGATTTCAACTGTAATTTCACTGTGTTCAATGGAACATTGTTTTAATTAAATTCCCTTACATTTATTGAGACTTGTTTTATGGCCCAGAATATCTTGGGAATATTCCATGCATACTTTCAAAGAATGTATATTCTGCTATCATTCTATAAATGCCAGTCAGGTCAAATAAGTAATTAGACCTGAAGTGTTTGACAGTGACTCTCTGTCAACAATATTAATTTGAACTAAAAATGTAAACTCGATAAGAATTTCTAGGCAATATTAAAAAAACAAAACATCCTGAATTCCAGCAAATCTTTAAAATAGTTCACTTAGTAGAACTTGAGATAATAAAATAAGTAAAGGAAGCCAAAGGACAAAAATAATAAATCTCATGTCAGGAAATTATTGACCTATTGATGTTAATTAGATAACGACAGGATGTCAGAACTGAATGAGTTGAGTCCTTGCAGACTAAATGAAACATCTTATTTCACAGCAAATCTGAAACAGTAGGAGATGTGAATCCCTGATAGTCACGCTTCACCTTGTGTCACTGTTTACCTGCTCCACCGTGCAGAAGATATGAGCATCATCCTGCTGGAAGCGCCTGACCCGGGTTAAGCCACTTAAAGTCCCTGACAGTTCATTTCTATGAAGAACTCCAAAATCAGCAAATCTAATTGGCATTTCCCTCCAAGATCGTGGACGATGAGCAAACATCAGACTACAAAAGATACATGAAACAGTTTTTACATAGTATAGAAAATAATTATTATCTAAATATTAAGAAATTACAATTAAGCCTCAATATTTGTAAACTCCTTATTCTGGTTCTTAGATCACTATATTAAAAATGCTCTTCTAGGCTGGGTTTGTGACTCAGTAGTAGAGTACTTACCTGGCACGCATGAGGCACTGGGTTCGATCCTCAGTACCATATTAAAATAAATAAATGAAAGAAAGGTACTGTACCTGTCTACAACCAAAAATATTTTTAAAATGCTCTTCTATGGATTATTATTTATTTATTTAGGTGCTGAGGCTCTAACGAAAGGCCTCCTGTGTGCTAAACATACTCTCTACCACTGAGCTAAGCCTCTAGCCCTCTTCTAGGAATTTTTGAATCTTAAGTTTACATCACTGCAGCATTCTAGAAAGAATCTCATTATGTCTTACAGAAATTCTGACTTCATCCACCCAGTAAATCTCCACTTGCCATTTATAATTCATTTCCAAGGCTACTTCTTAAGTGAAGCCCTCTGGACACTTCTCCAAATAGGACTGGTCCATCTCTTCTCAGGCTCCAAGAACACCTCAAACATATAACTGTTGTGGCACTGGTCTTTTTAAATAAGTGATTGCCTACATATATGTTCCTGCCCCCTATGCATGTGAGCTCCATGAGGAAATGGACTATATAAATCACCTTTGCATTTCTAGCACCAAGCTCAGGAAGCATCCAACTAGTGTTCTCTGTTGAATTCTCTTCTGCAGAAAGCACTCCTGAATACCTTATTCCATTGCTACAGGCTTCCTTATTCTGAAGCCTGAAGATGCAAAATACCTTCTCTATAGTCACTTAGCCTTACTTATAATTAGAGTTAAAATGGCAGGCTACAGGTTTAAATAATACCTGGTGGCAAAGTTAAGAAGGTGTTAATGTAAATGTTTTAGAGAGCGTGGGACACTAGCTTAGTCTCACCTTCTGTTTAAAAAAAGAGACTGAAGACTATTAACATACCAGTTTTCATAACATTAAAGTTATATATATATTTTAACATGCTGTCATCTTCAAGTTAAATTTCTTTTAATCTTTACTAAAAAAGGGCAAGGAGCTTTCTTTAATGTTCTGATATTTGTTTAAATAGTTAGCTTCTAAGGTTAATTTATTAGAAACTATGTAGGTTGGTAAGACAAAACTATAATAGTTGTGTGTGTGTGTGTGTGTAGAATTATGTCTATTCACTTCTAGCTGTAAAATCTGCTTGTCTTCAAGGTTGAATTTATAAACCTACTTTATGATAATTACAGTCTCTCATAGAATCAAAAACAACATTGGGTATAAGATATACCTTTATTTTATGTACTATTAGGAAATAGAGTGACCTATGATTTACTTTGTGACAAAATATTAAGATGCCACCAATTATAAGATGCATCCCAAATTCAAAGAAGTTGATATATGGAGGGAAAAAGTACCTTACAATCAATGAAATTCAGAAAACCATTTATTATGACCTCAATGTTTTTGTTATAATAACCCAAACAGTACATAGAACTATTTGCAAATATGTATATCTGAAATATATTACTATTAAGAGGACAAATATAATTTTTAAAATTGATACTGTTCTCTGAGAAGCACAAAAACTAAATGGTTTCCAGGTAGCATTCCATGCCTGCTGAATATCAAACATACTTTCATTCTCCAGAATGAAAATAACTAGATAAAGATGATTAGTAACTATCATTCTTCAGATTAAAGTAACCATTTAAATCTAAAAAGCAAAATAATAGTAACAGCTAATTATGATGAAGTGTGCTGTGCACTCTTATGCTATATCTTCTCCACTTTTAATACTTACCAGTGCCCTGGACAATTCATGGGTTTGAGAGCAAAGGTGTCCTTTTCAATATCAAAGGTGAACATGTTCTCACTGTAATGCTGCCAGTGGCCCGAGGCTTCCCAGAGTTTACTGTTGTACATGTTGGGAGAGAGCACTTCCGTGAAGGTTCGTTTGTGATACTCCTCCTTTAAGATAAGAGTGTTTAATGTTAAAATCTGCTAGGAGAGATCACAATTCCATGCAGTATAACACTATGAGTAAACTTTTTAAACTAAGGATCATGATTCACATGTGCTCAGTTTTAGATGTGGTGTTTTCTATATCATGAAAAAAAAAAAGATTTACATATGCACAGTAAAATTTTCACTAGTATATTTATCTTATGTACAAAATAGTGTATAATATAAATGTTATAATTCTTTGTAAATTAGTAATTAAAATTCAATATCCATAGAAACTTTCTATAACTAAAAACTTCAAAGCCCTTCTGCATTCTAGATAAACAGCAGGGGCTTTTTCCCCCTATTACTTAAGAGGTAGGAAAAATTATACAGTTTAATAAGTCTGAATGTTTAGTGTCATGTTACAGTTTTGATCCATTTAAGTTTTAGACAGAAATGAAATTGAGAATTTTAATTTCTCAATTTTGACATGTTAAGTAGCTAATATCCACTAAGTTAGAAGCTGACTTCTCTCCCTATTAACAGCTTCCTTCATTAAATCATGGTAACAGAAGAAGAGAGTTTGTCAAGTAAAGTTTTTATTTTATTGATACCTTTTCGTCCCCCTGCCTTTGTCAAGATATCAATGTGATGATCTTTGTTTTTATTACATTCTCAACATTTGTAAATCAAATGGACATTTGGCAAACATGTTGACCACCATACTTTTGGCAAGTTAACAGAATTTAAAATTTATAAAAGACATTTCAAAATGATAGTTTTGGATTACTGAAGGTACTGAAGCTTTATTTATACCTGGCCACTTAAAAACCCCTAAATAGCTCCTATATCAGTGTCATTTCAAAAAAAAAGAAAATAGTTTTCAAGCAACTTCTCATTATAAAAGCTAAAGCAATTCCACATGAACAGCTTCTTCCCAAAACCCCATTAAAATAATTATAAAGAGAGTTTTTATATAAGTGTTAATTTACAAAGATAGAAAAGGAGAATTGAAGATGAGTTCTGGGATACTTTAGAAACTAGAAAGTAGGAAACAAATAACAATTGCCTCAGAAGACCTGGGAAAGCTGTGACTAGGCTGGCAGTGGAGAATCCCAGGAGCAAACTTGGTCCAGATGGATACAGATATCTTGGCTTCACAGTTTTAAGGCTTTGAATGTGAGGTGTTCCCCAAAAGCTCCTGTGTTAATGCAGGAATGTTTGGAGGTGAAATGATTAGATTAAGAGAGCTGTGATTTAATCAGTTCATCCTGGTTTGGATGGACTGACCAGGTTAGTATGGCTGAAGGAGAAGGGTTCCTGGGGTTGTACTGTTCCCTGTGACCTCTTCGCCCCTGCCTTCTCTCTGCTTTCTGGACCCTATAAACTGAGCTGCTTTCTTCCACCATGATGTTCTGCCTCAGCTTAGGGCCAAAGCAATGGAGTCAGCCATCTATGAACTAAGACCCCTGAGACTGAGCCAAAGCAAACTTTCCCTCCTAAGTTGTTCTTGTCAGGTAATCTGGCCACAGTGACAAAAAACTGACCAACAGTGCTTGTCTTCTGATTTTTTGTTTTCTGTTGAGAATTTTAATTACATTCTGATACCCAGTCCTATGTCTCTGGGAAACTTTTAGGATCTTTTCTTCATCTCTGTAGCTTTGGTATCTCTCAAATAATGTGTGTCTTGGTGACCAAGAGGAGAAAGCTTGCACCAGTAAATTTTGACATACTTCTGTTGGGGGTTTAGGCTGTCCCTTGCTCATTCTGGGTTCCCTTTGCTAAGGAACTAACAGGCAGAGAATGACTTACTACTCTGTGAAGATGACTGATCCTGACTACTGGGATGATTGTGCTGCTGTCATACAGTGGAGTAAGGAGGGCTGTGTCTGGGATTCAGTCAAAACCCTTAATTATTCCCACATCCAACAATAATAGTGGGGAACTCTTTTATAAAGACAGAATTACTAAGAACTTAGATCATATGAGAAGATTTAGGCTATCCACTATTATGGCTTGAATTGCATCCTGCCCCAAAAGACATTATGAAGTCCTAACTCCCAGCACTTCAGGATGCGGGAACAGTGTCTTTACAGAGGTAATCAAATCAAAATGAGGTCCCTAGCACGACTCCTCACCCAATATGTCTAGCATCCCTGTAAAAAGGGGAAATTTGGACCAGAGACAGTCATGCACAGAGGGAAGACATGTGAAAACAGAACAGGAGAAGGCCACAAGAAACTGGAGGACTGGAGTGACAGCTTCTACAAGCCAACGAACACTACAGATGGCTGGCAACCCTCATGCAGTGAGGAAGAGGCACAGAAGGATCCTCTAGAGGTTTTGGAGGAAACATGGCCCTGAGGACATCTGGATTTTACACTTCTGGCCTCTTAAATAGTGAGACTATGAATTTCTGTTATTTAAAACTGTTTGTTTAAAACTCTAGGAAACTAACATACCTACCACTAAAACTGGCCATCTGAAGTGCCAGGGGGACATGGAGAACATGGATGGGGTGGCAGAAGGAGGAAGCTCTGATTTCTCAGCTCAGGCCCATGTCTACCTACATAGGCTAAGGCTGCAGTGGTCGCATTTAATTATGTCTTGTCTTTGCTTTTTTACCTGAAGAGCACTAATGATGGCTAAACACACAATTTAGATTTTGGGTGAAACAGAACTGACAAAGCCAACATGATGATGATGATACAGTGGCGGATGGGACGTTGTCTAAAGACACAAATATTTTCACTCAAACAGGGCACAAAAATGGGTACATGGAGGCACAAGAGATACCCATGCTGGTTATTCTCAACTTGCCACTGTCTGTCTTGCCCAGGCTGACTTAGACATTCCAGCTATGATGGTTGTTTACTCTGTGTTGGCTTGACTGAACCCTGGTGCTCCCAGATTAAAAACTGCTTCTGGGCATTTCTCCAAGAGTTTGTTTGTTTGTTTGTTTGTTTGCTACTGGGGATTGAATTCAGGAGCACTTGACCACTGAGCCACATCCCCAGCCCTATATTTTGTATTTTATTTAGAGACAGGGTCTCACTGAGTTACTTAGCGCCTCACCATGGCTGAGGCTGGCTTTGAACTCACAATCCTCCTGTCTCAGCCTTCCAAGCCACTGGGATTACAGGAATGTGCCACTCTGCCAAGCTTCTGAGAGTTTTCCTGGATTATAGTAGCTTCTGATTTGGTGGACTTATTAAAATCACCCTCCCAAATGTGGATGGGCATCATTCGATCTGTGAAACACCTTAACAGAACAAAACTGTGCAGAAAGGAGGCTATTGCAGTTTTTGCTTCCTGCCTGCCTGTGGACCCTCTGACCCTTGGACTCAAATTTACACCATCAGCCTCCTGACTCAGGAGCCTTCAGACTCAGACTGGAATCACACCACCAGTTTGCAGGTGGCAGAGAATGGGACTTCTCAGCTTCCGTGATCATGTTAGCCAGTTCCTCACAATAAGTCTCTTCCTCTCTTTATATCCTTCTGGTTCTATTTCTCTAGAGAATCCTAATATATTTGGCTTCTGGATAATTCTGACTAATATTTGCCTTCTGACTTCTAACTGGATTTGACTAATGAGAAGCTCTGAAAGAATTCAGCAGGTAGAAGAAGAGAGAGGTCAGGGTACTTATTCCCTTTCCCCAGTGTTTTCTTGCCTTGGGTTTATTTTGGTCCTGGCTATGTTCTATAGTTACGGCTTCCTTTACATGGCTTCTCCTCCCTTGATCCAGCTCGCTCTGATTTCTGGTACCACTATTGCTTCTCCTTTCCTCTTCAGGACTAGAGATAGAGGGTGAGGGATTCCTGCTGGTTTTGACCCCAGGGTACTCTACTATCCACCCCTTATAAGTCACCTTAACTGGGCACATACCTTTGTAAGTATCTCCTTCACTACACCTTCTTCAGTTAAACCCTCTGAGTGCCTGGGTCAGGACCCTCTCTGCACAGGTAAATACACTGAGACTTCACATTATCTGCAAAGAAATCTACTGAGTCAAGGGTCATGGGGAGAGGAAGCAGACATTCTCCAAGAGGGGCCACTTTCCTCTCCACTCCATGAACTCCTAGACCATGCAATGAGTCGAGCAGATTCTGGGAAACTCAAAAGATGTGTCTGTGGAAAGTTTCACAAAAGGAACCTCATATACTGCTGGCAGGAATGTAAAAAATAGTCTCCTTGGAAAACAGTTTGGCAGTTTCTTACAAATATTAATATAAATTTGCCGAACTGACGTCACCAGAACGCGGCAGAGGAGATAACTTCATTGAAACCAGCGGCGACAGCATCAAATAAATGTATAAGAGTAAACAGTAACTCAGCAGTCAAACAGAACAAGAAGTAACATGAGCAGCATGAAAAAGCAAGGAAGAAAAGGAGTACAAACAATGCAGGACAGCCTAAATATTCAGGAGGACCTAGAGTCATCAGAAAAATGGTCATATAAAGAACTCAAGGAATACCTTAGACAGATGGAATGGAACCTTAAAGAGGATACGAGACAGCAAATTCAAACAGTGAAAGAACACATTGAAAATGAATTACATAAACAGATAAAAGAAGAAGTTAAGCATCTTTATCAGGAGATAGAGATAATAAAAAAAATCAAACAATAATTCTAGAAATGAAGGAAATTATAAACCAAATTAAAAACTCAAATGAGAGTATCACTAACAGAGTGGAGCAAGTAGAAGCCAGAAAGTCAGATAATGAAGACAAAATATATCATCTTGAAAAGAGTCTAGCCAACTCAGAAAGGCTGGTAAAAAATCACGAGAAAAACATCCAAGAGATATGGGATAACATAAAAAAACCAAACTAACAAGTCATCGGGATAGAGGAAGGTATAGAGATTCAAACCAAGGGAATGAGTAACCTGCTGAATGAAATAATTACAGAAAACTTTCCAGAAATAAAAAAGGAAATGGATATACAAATTGTAGATGCATACAGGACACCGAGCACACAAAATCACAGTAGACCAACGCCAAGACACGTTGTTATGAAGA